TCTGCTTCCCAGCCCCCCCCCTTCCTCCCAGCCATCCGCACTCCCCTCCCAGCTGGTCCCTCTCTCCCCCTGCCTATTAAGTGTGTTCGGTGTATATTTTTAAGACTACCTGGTAATCCCTTAATGTCTCCCAAAAAAAGTGGCTTTGCGTTTTAATTTAATCGCATGATACGCGTAGTTTTAAAGTATGGCTTGCTGTATTATACAATAAGCGCCAAATTGCACATGTAAAAAACAAACTAAGTACAATGTCCCATACTTAAGTTTGTATTTTTTAAGTTGTTACTTTAAAAAAAATTAAGTTTAGTTTAAGTTTTAGTTTCTTTAGGTTGTTTGATGAATAAAAATAATGTCCTTTATGATTGATTATTTAGTAACTGTTCACCTTTAAAAAAAAATTCCCTGGGTGCACACCCTAATGAAATGTGCTGCACACACCTATGATTAGCATATTTTCTGCCGATTCTTTTTGCACAAGGGGTGTTTGCCTCCTGGAGGGGCATAAGGATCTTGCATAAAACGGAAGCGGCTACGCTGCTTCTTTTTGCGCAAAAAGAATCAGAAGAAAATATGCTACCGACAGCACGCTTCCTAATGAGTCCCTCATTAGCGTATTTTCTGCCAAAAAAGTGTAGTGTAGACATAGCCTAAGAGTACCTCTACACAGCAGAGCAAAAACCGAACTAAGCTACACAACTTGAGCCATAGCCCTTGAAATAGCTTATTTCAACTTTTGGTGCTGTCTATGCAGCAGTAAATCCAAGGTAGAGTACTCTTCCTCTGACTTCCTTTATGCCTCATAAAATGAGGGTTATAGGAGTCGGCGTAAGAAGTCCTCCAGCTCTCTGTGTAGATGCGGATTTGATATTATCCGAAATAACACTGCTGTGTAGACATAGCCTCAATGAATATCCATGCCTGAATAACCATAAAAAACAATGAATAGTCTAGTAGCAACTTAAAGACTAACAAAACATGCATAGTTATTGTTTAAGGAGTTACTAGACTATTCATTGTTTTTCCAGTTAACTCAGCTGCCCCTCTGAAGCTTCAAAATAACCATGTCTCTCAATTTGACCTCACACTATAATAATCTAACCAACATATTAAGACAAAAAAGAGGAAAATGATTTTATTAAATAGTCATCGATACAATTCTGTAATGATTTCTTCTACAGAAAAAAACACACTGGTCTAGCATTTACAGAAGTTATTTGCTAGATGCTGACAATGGACATTCATTAAAGGACACTCCGACTCCATTTTATTTCCTAGTTTTCAGCACTCTACAGATGCTTACTTCGTTGGCAGTATGCTGTGCATTGAGGGTTTTCCTAAAACAATTCTTCAGGATGCAGTCCATACAAACCCATTTGACCTAAACTGTGTTCAACAGTAGTTGTGTATGCCCCCCACTGTCCACTTATACTTTGCTAAGTTATAAAACAGTTTTTTAAGGTTTTTATGACTGACACTATGTAAAACTCTTTTCAACTAACAGAGACAGTACAATAGAACCTCAGCATTACGTACAAGTCAACCACGCTGCTCATTCGGAACAGGCTGTACACAATCAGGAGCAGCAAAGACAAAAAAAGAAAAAGGAACCACAGTACCATGCCATGTTAAACATGACAAAAAGAGAAAATTGAAAATAAGATGTGACATGATAAGGAAACTGTATGCTTGTTTCATTTGAATTAAGATTATTAAAATCAACATTTTTCTTCTGCATAATAAAGGTTCAAAGCTCTGTTAATTCAATGTTCAGTTGTCGTTTTGAAAGAACAATCATAATATTTTGTTCAGAATTATGAATACTTCAGTGTTATAAACAACTTTCATTCCTAAGGTGTTCATAACTCTGTGGTTCTATTGTAATGTCAGTTGCAAGTTACAGTATAGACAGGGTCTGACTTGACAATGTGAGGTATTTAAACTAAAAACCTGTTTAAGGAGGGGGAATGTCAAACTTCTATTAATTATTTCAGTGTGTTCACAGACTCAGTAGGATTATATTAATATTTACAAAATAACAGTATATCAATTTAAGAGCATACATGAGTAATACCAGAAACGTCGTCTTTCTTTTTTTTGCAGTATATACAAATACAAACCATACACTCAGGAGATTTGGGATTATACCTCATTTTTATAATCTTATTTTCGTGAGGCAGAATGGCCTCCTTCCAGACTGGAGAGCAAGGGAGAACTATACTCAGAGTCCCCCTGTCCATAGGACGGTTCAGGGCAGCCATACCAGGCTCCGTGCTTCAGGGATCCCAAACGTCCTATAGATGGTATGGTCCCCAATACTGAGTTTAGCTTAGCCCAGGGCAAGTGGGGGATTACTTGGGGACCTGGTGCAGGTCAGTAGCACAGACTGCCCTCATCCATCTCCAAACTCATTGCAGCAGCGGGAGCCATGGGAAGCAAAGCAATGCAGCAGCCTACTCCATTCTGCCATCTCCCAGTCGGGTCACTCTACTTCACCATGGCAACAGGAAGAAGAGCGACATGGACTCAGGGAAACAGCAGTGACCTAAGTGGGAGATGGTGGTGGACTGCAGTGCGCTGCTGGTAGCTCCACTTCCTGTAGCTCCTGCTACTGTGGTGATTATTGGAGCAACTCCTGCTACAGTAATTCCCTGGGTCATGTTGCTTAGGGGAGGGGACTTCAGGGAAGGGTGCAATGGGAGTTGGAGAATTTAGAGCAAGGGTGGGGTTGGGGGAAGGGATAGAGTAGGGCAAGGTAGGAATAGGGGCAGGAAAAGGTGGGGCAGGAAGCAAGGCCTGAGGCAGAAAAAGGGTTGCCCTGGGCCTCGCTCCCCCTCAGGACGGCTCTGACTACACTCCCCTTGGTAGGAAAAGCTACCCTACCCCCACCCTCCTCACTGGACATACCAGAGCAGGGTAGGAAAAATAAAAGGAAGGCCCTGCAGTTCAGAACCAGTGGAGGAGACAGACGCCTCTGCTCTGCAGCAGCATCTAGCAGCAGAACCTGTGCCCGGCTGCACTCTGCCCCCCGAGGAGATGGACTCAGTAGAGGAGTTGCTGGGACACTGTTAACTGTATACTCCAAGGACTGGTGGATGCCAGAGGTATCAATCCCCAAGGAGGTAGGAAATAGCCCAAGGACAGCTGACGACTGACTGGCTACAGAGTCAACTGTGTCTAAGTCAGTGTGTTGTGGCTGGCTCCCCGCTGACTCACTGACAGAACACTCTGCCACTATTAGGGCCATGGGCTGGGACGCAGTTGAGTTGGGCAGTCCTGCGTCCCCCTGCCACCTCAAACCCTGGGTGGCAAACTCCCCACCCTAAGTCAGGAGGCCTGTATTCCATGAACACCCCTGCCGACATCGTCGACTGGTTGCTCAACCCTTGCTGGAGCTCCCTAGACTGCGTGGGTGCTCACCCCTCACTGAGCCCTGCAACTGCATGGGTTGCTGCCTGCCTGAGCCCCCACAAGCTCAGGCTAAACCTTACTTCCTGCCCTGCCCTGCCCCGCCAAAAGGGCTAGAGCTTATTGACTCTGCATATCTGCTGGCAGCCTGGACTTTGCTATGAACCCTAAACTGTTAATTGCTGTCAGGCTTATTAAGTAGCTGCGAGCTAGAGACTATGCCCCATCCAGGGGTGGAAACAAGAGTCCCAGAATATTGTTTGCCTCTGTCAGACAGACCCAGAACTAAGGCTGCTTATGGCTCAGCCTTACCGGTGCTACCCATGGACTTAAACCCCAATACAATGAGGCAAAGGAGAGCAAGGAACCACTACCGTTATATACAGAAACCCTCTGCAAAACAATTTAACAGATAATTTATGAAATAATCTTTGAAACATTTTTAAATAAGTATTGTATTAAAGACACCCATATTTTTAGGATCTCTTATACCCATTCTAACCTCACTTTTACCCATACAACCCCTTTACCTTGAATGAAAACATATACATAAAGGGCAGAATTTGCTCTTAGTTTGCAACATGATTTATCCACACAGTCAGGATCAACCTACAATATAGCACAAGTAGAGTACTAGCACTAATAAATACTGTGTCCAAAACAGATTCCAATGTGTAGATGGGCATTTTTACTGCAAAAAGTGTAGTTAAGATAGTCAATGGGTGTGCATTTTCCATGGATAGTAGTACCAGTTATAGACCTATAAGATGAGGAGAATAAATCTCTACATCAGGGAATAACATCTATTCCTCTGGTTATTAATTAAAAGCACCATGTAGACTTTACTCTAGCATCAAATTACAGCAGTGTGATGGCTACAAACACCAAGTTCAAAAATGTACACTTAAAAATATTAATTACAAAATCAATGTGTTTAGACAGGTTGTATGAAATACTTTTCACCATATGTACTTTAGAATGTGGCTTTGAGCACAATGGGTGCAAACTTTCTTTGAAGCCCAGGGTTTTCTGGCTTTTGAAGTTATAAAAAACGTCAACGTGTTAGGTAAACATAAAAAAGACATTTAATTCTTGTTTCATTGACAACAAATGAAATACAAAGTTTACAGACTAAAGAACTGATTATGACAGCAGAGCAATTGGGATGTGCAGAATACTTCCGTTGCTTATGCTCTTTTTAATGGTTCAACATATATGTGTTTAATATATTATGAGTATTAAGTTCATGAACTAATGCCAGTTACGAAAGTTGTGAAAATACAACCAGAATCTGTTAAAACAGTGTTAACACAATGTTATACTTTCTACAGTATAAAAATACTACCCTAAGCACAGACTGAGATGAAGTCTTGCTTGTAACCAGTGCTTGCTTCCAAGAAGGCATAATATTACATTAATCATTAAACCTAACAATTAAATTTTCTAAATTTTAAATTCAGAGGTAACATTTACTATCTTATACAGATGCTATGGTCTCAAGGCTTGCCACATTGCTTCAGTCTGCTGTACTGCTACAGGATCTCTGGAGTAGTCAAGACAATTTCCATTCCACATGCCAATACCCCTTAAGCCACGTTTCTTTGCATACAATGCCTTCAGTGAAATGCTCTGTGGATCATCATACCATACTTGATGATAATTACCAAGAGGGTCCTATAAAAGGAGATAGCACATTGGTTAGCATATATAAACAGGGTAGACAAAAAGATTAAGTACAGAGAATCCAAACTATAATTACAGGTGCATAAAAATCAATGATTATTTAAAAAAAATCAGATGTATTTGATTTAAATTGGATTTTTTGATAAAATACTTTTTGAGGAAACATGCTTTTTTAATTAACATACATTATAGCTTAAAACATCTCCTCATGGAATACGTATTATACATTCTAATCGTATAGTATGAGACAATATATTCATGTAATGTTTAAGAAAAGTTTTGAAAGCAAGTTCCAATGGATTACGGACCCAATTTTAGAGGGTTCCAGAGGCTTCTGTATAGATTATCTAGGTTCATGTTTCTATCTACCCAATGGGACTCAGTATTCATTCTAGAAGACACCATCAGAGATGCTTAGCTTTTGAATTCTCAAATGGCAAATTTGTGTCTCCAGAGCTAACATGCTTGTCAACAGCAAAAATGTTTTAATAAATAATATAGAGGGGTGATAAACAGACCTCAACCCTACCGTCCCTCTGAAAATCTGTGTATGCAGAGTCAATACCTTACCTCACTCTCAAAATGCAAAGTTTCAAAAAGCACAATGAATAAAAGCTAATAAAAGTTTCTCATGTTGACCTGGCCAACATAGACAATTTAATTTTTGTTTAAAAAAAATGTCATTTAACTATTTTAGTTAAAATAATTTTAATAAAAACAAACTTGATTTTAAAAAACTTGAATGTTTAAATTCAAAATTCATATGCTTGTTTTGTTACATAATAATGTGTTTGACAAAGAAAAAAATTCAGAATTCATAACGTTGTTGTTTTAATTAAATAAAACAATTTAAATATCTGTCTAGTAATGTTCTCCTCCTAATACAGAATGGCAAGAAAATCCTCCAAATATTAATGATTAACTTATTGAATTGGAGATAGTTTTACAGCCATATCAGAAAATGAATGATTAGTTATTTCATTTACCAAAAGTAATTGAAGCAGATATTTATGAAATCTTTCGGAGGTGAGCTATCTGAAAAAATTTCAAAATAAAAATCACTCTTTTAAAAATGTATAGTGTAACTTGTAAAAATGAAACCTACATCTATCTCTGAGTTGTGAAGAACATACATTAAGGTTATGATAAGCAACAAGAATGCACTTTTATGTAAAAAAAAAAAAACAGGATTATATCAAATCTTTTTGACTAGTGATTTAAATCAAATCCACTCTGTATAATTTAGTACGCGGTCGAGGAGTCAACTACCCTATAAGCCTAGGCTTATCAGGTAGTCGAGTTGACTACTCGACTACTCGCATTTCCTCCCCTCCTCCTTACTGTCTCTGTATCAGAGGCAAGGGGTGAGAGAAGCAGGAGCTGGTGCTGGGGGAAGCCAGCTTAAAAGCTGGTTCCCCCCAGCACTGTCTCTGCAGTTACACCTGCCACCCGCCCCCATGCTACTGCCTCTAACAGGAGAGACTGCCACAAAGCACTCTCTGCCCATGGCAGGCCAAGGCTTGCTGTGAGCAAAGGCTGCTCCACATCCCATGGAGCAACCCCTGTCCACAAGGGGGTCACAGTGGGGAGCTGGAATCCCCTATGCACGGGGCTGCTGCCAGAGAGGTCTGTGCTACTGCTGCTGCTGCTGGACCCGGCCTGGCTCTTACTACATTTAAACAGCAGAGCAACAGCGGGGGTAGGTCCTGGACCAAGGACGAGCCAGGACTGAACCGGGCTTGCTCAATCCCGGCTTGCACCCGGTCCAGGACCAGCCCTGCTGCAGCTCTGCATTTTAAATGTAGTAGGAGCCCGGACTGCCTGCAAACAAGGCTCCTACTACATTTAATCTGCAGAGCCACAGGCAGGGGTAGCTCCTGGACCCAGTACGAGCTGGTACTGAATACCTTCCCTTATCAACTAATCATTCAGTCAATACAAATTGTATCGACTACATGATTAGCTAATCATCGGCCTCTTAACATCCTTAGTATAATTATAAATGAAGTGAAAACTCAAATGAATAAATTGTGTTCAGTGGTTTTCCAGACTTGCATATAAAAATATTCTGCAAAAAGAAGCTTGTGAAAAGGTGTCATATTTTTAAAACCAAGCAACTCAACTTAGGCTGTCTTTTTGTTACAATACATAGACCAATAAACATCTATACTTTCCTACTAATATGTTTCTCTGATCTCCAGACAAGTAACCACAAACCAGTTAAAGATGTTTCTGTTAGTTTAGGTGAAATGAGATGACTAGATTTGAGTTTGCATATTAATGATAAAAATTAGTTTAAAAAACTGATATAAAAAACTTCAGCTAAGATTTCAATTGTGCCCTTTAATCAGTCACAGGGTATTGTGTTTTTGTTTCTAGAAATAAATATAGGTTTAAAGAAAGTTACGAAATTTTGCCAAATAAAAATTATATTACTTTCAGATGGTCATCACTATTAAGAGTTTTTAGTCATCAGCACAGGAAAGTTATAAAAATGTTAATCCTAAGTAACTGACACTACATTGTCAAAAGGAATCATAGAAATACTTAGTTTTTATCAGTGCATGCCTATAACATATGGATTCAGTCTTCTACCACATCCAGATAGAGTTTAGACACAGTGAAGAGAAGAAGACAAAGGGAGACAGTTGCAGCTCCTTGATCTTTTGCCATCCAGCACAAGGAGAAATTTTAACTTACATCACTGGCATAAGGTTCTTCAAGGGCCTTATGACAGGGGAGGATAGCAATAGTGTGTGGTTCTCAAACTTTTTGGCCCATGGCCCACCTGGCTCAATGCAAACCTTTCTGTGAACCACCAGCTCCTACTGGAAACTAGGGATGCTAGATAGTGTGTAACTGAATAGTTGTGTAACTGCTAAAGAGGCAGGGATTTTTACATCACTGGCATAAGGTTCTTCAAGGGCCTTATGACAGGGGAGGATAGCAATAGTGTGTGGTTCTCAAACTTTTTGGCCCATGGCCCACCTGGCTCAATGCAAACCTTTCTGTGAACCACCAGCTCCTACTGGAAACTAGGGATGCTAGATAGTGTGTAACTGAATAGTTGTGTAACTGCTAAAGAGGCAGGGATTTCCCATGGGGATGTATAACCTCCCTGAATTTCCCCAACACCCCTCCCTCCGTTTTGTGAACTAGTTAAATGCCAATTTAGTGATTGTTTGGAAATTTGAATTGAAATTGAAACATTAATACACACTTTAAAAGCATATACAGTGTATGATAAGATGTGTATCTGAAAAAGTACACTAGATTTGAAAAGTATGAACATAAACTAGCTTCCTTATACAGCTGTTGTTTTTTATGACGTCAGTGCATTCATTTTGGTGATGCTGGCCAACCTAATAATTTCAAATTATGATTTGTAAGCAAAGTCAAAATGAGCTCTCCCTGACAGCTAGTGATGAGCTGGGGGGTGGGGGAGAAAGGCTTCAGGACCGGATTGTATTTACATTCACACCTAATCTACCTAGGTATCCAGCAAACAGAGCTGTGATGCCCAAGTAATAGATTTTGGCTGGGGTTGAGTTACAAATCACTTGGCGGGGGCGGGGGCAGGGGGAATGAAATGATGTTGCTCTTATTGTATGAGTAAAGGGCAGTAGAACTGTACTTAACCTGTACTGATTGAGGGCACCAAGAGAGAGGATGGGGAGAGGTGTTTTGCTTGATGGTCTGAGTCACAAAGTACTATTTGACCTGCCCCTCTCCACTGTTTGAAGACAGAGCTGATTAGGCTCCATATGCAGTCTTTTGTTTTGTTAAGTGACCACTACAGCTAAAATCACTGATAATCAGTTCTAAGTGCTTAGTCCTGCTGTGGGAACAGTGTACCTGTGGGTACAGTGTTTTTGTATAAGAGACAGCCCAGACTGCACTAGCAGTGAGGTTTCCCCACTGAGAGCTCAGCTGAAATCACTAAGAGCTGGGTGGAACCTCAAGAGACCAACTCGCAGGGGTCACAGTGGCAGGTGGCAGCAGAAGGTGACAGCGCAGGGCCACTGGCAACAGAGCAATGGAGTGAACGGTGGCACAACAAACAACAGTGGCCAGAGCAAACAGTGAGCAGCTGAAGGGACAAACAAGGTGCCTGGGAGGTGTACTCATGTGAAAGTACCTCTGCACTCAGGACCGGCTCTAGGAAGTGCAGGGCCCAATTCGAACAGTTTTGGCGGGGCCCTCCCACCCAGGATTTTTTGTTGAGCCAAAAAAAACCCACCCAAACAACAAACCACAACCACACACAAATCAATATAGTTGAACATTTTCAAAAAAATGCCATCCTTTATGCTGCAAAATTTTACACAAAATTAAATCAGTTGCCTTAAGTGTAGGTCAAATATTTTCAATTGCAAACTATACAATCTTTTCAATAAAGTTTAAAGTTTGATTTTTCAAGTTACCAGAGAGCGTTGCAGTTTTCTGTTACATTGATTTACTTTTTAAACAGAAAAAATGGAGTCTTTGTTAAGAAAGGGTCAGTTCTGTGGTCAAATTCCAGTCCTTAATGATTTCAGCACCACTGATTTCACTAGGTAATATGGTACCTCGCCTCCTTTGCACTGCCCTTCTACACATACTGCCTGCATGTTGAGTCCAAGGTCAGTCTACACAAGATTTTATCAATGATTTTTGCTCAAGCGATCACTGAGACAAGACAAGGATTCTCAATTGATTCTAGTCAGCTCTGCCTTTAAACACTGGCTGTAAAGTGTCAGATATAATTGAGGACTCCCAAACAGACTCTACATGACAGAAATAAAACCTGTTTCCATCTTCTGTGACTTTCAGTTAGATGTGACTCACTATCCTCTGCTTAGTGTTCAAGTTATGGTAGACCCTAAGCCAAGTCATATTAAGTTCAGGTCTTTTACCTTTTAATCATAAAATATGGATTACAACATTTCATTCTCCCAGCTCCACGTCTTAAGTGAATTTCGACCCAAAAAAGCCAAAATTGAGCACTTTAA